TATATGTAACAATAATGTTTTATCAATACTTTTTCCAGCAATTTAAGTAGTACAAGGATTTGACACCATTTCATCATCCATAAAGGAAGGCCATGTTGTTTTATGTAAAAGGTACAGAATAACTACTCGTCACAGGACCAGATCATTATTTGTCCCTGTGGAAGTGTTACTGTCATTTGAAGGCACCTAATTAATTTTTGCAGCCTTACAAAGAGCAATTAGGTTTATAAAGTTAATTAGTTAACTCTATCTATCTATCTACGTATCCTTACTTTATATTTGCATTGCATATACGTGTAAAGTGAAATTCTCCATCTCACCCTGCAGAGAAACTAATATGCAATATCTCTGCAGAGGGATTGTAAACAGAACCCCCAACATTCTACAAAATATTTTATAAACTCATACAGCAGCCAGAAGGTAGGGAGACAGACGAGTGGCTCTGAACTGCACTATAGAAATTAGTAAATTGAAAACATACTTGGTGTAATTGTATCTTTATTTACATATACCAGTTTACAGACTTTACATTTACATTATCAGAAATTATGTTGGAGCAGGAGAGTCAACCATTGTCAATTATCTACCTAATCTATGTGACAAAATTGTATTTCTGCTATGGTGCTTATAGTTCAATCCCAGTCTGAAATGTTGCAAGATAACGGATATCATGTAAACTCTAAAAGTTTTATCCCCTCATATCTGTATACTATAGGATAAAAGACTAAATGGAAACAAAACAATGTTGTCAATTTACATACTTCTATGTTTCAGGAATCTATAAGCAGCAATATATACTCAAAGTTTCCCCTATATGCAATATTCATATACCACCAGTGAATTTCATATTACAAATAAATATCACACTGATTACAAAAAGAACTTTACTTTGAAAAAACACTATAGGGTTCGAACAATGTCTGCGGAGATGTGGACACAGAGGCACATACATTCACATGTGATGGGGATGCCCAATAGTGCAGACTTACTGGAGAGAAGTTTGAGACCTCATGTCAGAGGTATTCCAGAGGAGAGTGGAGTAAGACCCTTGGAAGTAAGAGCTGTGGTACATGGGTGAGAATATTAATAAGGACAGAGTATGGGTAAATCATGGAAAAATTCAGCAGTAATAGAACAATCGGAAACCTCTGTGCAAAGAAGAAATTATTTTCAAAGCTGTAAGAAGTAAGGGGGTAAAGGGAAAATAATTAGTGTAGATACAGATTAGAAAAATAAAACAATAAGGCATGTCTTGTCACAGTAGCTTGGCATATCAGATCATAGGAAATCTTCTCAAGAGGAAAGGGTGATGCAGTAGTAGCATTGAGAAAAGTTTAATCGAAGTAGATGGAAGGAAACTTACAAAGTTTAGACTTGAGCAATCAGTTCAGTTGTCTGAATTCCATAACTCTGAAATGAAATATGGACGTATCACAAAACAAATTGGGCAATGGATGATCTGCTTTCTTTGTTTTATGAGACAAAGTTCTGTCTGTGAGGGGAAATATGACCTCCATATTAGTACATGGGAGGCTTAATACCTTAATTTGCCCTCACCTAACATGCCTTGGATGGAGGCATGTCTATGATACAATGAGCAGTCATCAGATGCTCATTGTAAGGAAATCTAGCAACCGCACAGCTAGACCTAAATTGGAAAAAAACATGACCTTGGACACGAGGTCACGCATTTTGACTGGAAGAAAAGAGATTTAGTCTAAAACAAAGGAAACTTTTTTTCACAGTAAGAATAATAAGTGATGTGGAATTCTTTGTCTGAAGAGGTATTAGAGTCTGTACAAATGTTTTGACATCAACTGGATGAATATTTGCAAAAACACAATATTCAGGTATATAATTTTTAATTAGTGGGTTAATAGCTTCTTGATCCAAGGAGATGTCTGACTGCCATTACGGGGTCAAGTAGGATTTTTTTTTCAAGCAGGGTTTTTTGCCTTCTTTCGAATCAACAGCAAAACAGATGTGAGAAAGGCTGTCTCTTTTCAGCCTGTGTAACATGTGGCAAAAAAAATAAAAACTGTGCAGCAAACAATTTGTTTGTGATTCTGGATTTTTTATTTTAATAGTAGAATTGGGTTATTATTTTGTATGTATCAATGTGTGCCTGTGTATGTGTCTGGGTGTGTAAATATGAATGTACGTTTGTGTGAATAAGAATGTCTATGTACAGTATGTGAATGTGTATGTCTATATGACGGTAAGGACATGCATTGAATTTCCATAAAAAAAGGGAATTGGGCAAGTGAGAAAAAATACAGCCTTGAGTGCCAGGTAAACTGCCAGCGGTGTATACTAGCATGACTAAACACATCATTTTGTGTTAGAAGATAACATCTTATAAACTAAAAGTATGCAAAACAGGCTGATACCAAATAGTATCATTCTAAAACTATACGAACTGAATGAATATAACACAAGCATTAAATGTCTGGCTGCAAGACTTGTATTACTATTAGAAGAACATATCCCTTATTATATTTATTTATTAAAACTTCAAGTTTCTAACATAATATGCTATACTAAACAAGAAAAAAAATACAATTAAGTAGATTTTATGTAATTTTACATACAATGGACTTTATAAAAAAATAAAAATAATATATATATATATATATATATATATATATATATATATATATATATAAGTAAAGCAGTGGAGGAAAACAAGGTGTTTGTTTATGTAGGAATATCTAAATGTATGTTGCCAGAGGTTTTTTGGAATGATATACAATGCTAATTAAGCATACAATCCTGCTACAGTAGCAAAAGTAATGACAATGATTTTCAGGGCCAGAGGTCAGGGAGAGAGCTTCTGGGAAAAAACGCAAGAGGCAATGCTGTGGCATGACTTAAGGCAATGTGGTTTGTGCATCTGGCTGTTATTTGATGTAATCATGTCTTGTTGCTTGTTAAATGCCAGAACGTGTATACAATGTAGGCAATACTTTCTCTTTCCTCTGGTTTAAGCTTCACAATGTAAATTGTAAAATGCTTAAGAGCAAAGTCTGCAAGACCTCAATGTACACAATGTACATAGATAAAAAACAAAGGTGAGATAAAAAAGATAATTAAGACAAACACTAAGGTCACATCTTTTGGTTACTGTAATTGTATGCTCTTGAGGTTCACATCAATATAACCCATAAACATCCGGTTGCTTTAACCATTTCACTATTGAGTGCTTTTCACATTAATAAGTAAAAACACAGGTAATTGGATTCAATGTTAGCACACGATCTTCATACTAAATGGTAGTTACAAGTATATATTGTTGCTTGACATTACCTAAAAAAATCAAATTCTGCTAATTTATAGTTTTTTTTTTCCATTTATTTAGCAACCTCATTCAGAAATATTTTGATTTAAAAAAGGTATAAAAAATATCTGAGATCATACGGAATCCATTATCATACAATATCCTTATTATGGGTATTTGTTAGCAAATAGTGACAATTTTAGGAATGTAGTTTCCCCAAAGTGCCAGCAGAACATAGGCCTTATTAATGCATTTTGGCATGATGGAACATGCAGTTGCCTGGCTAACACAAACAGTTTTAATCATTGTTTTTTTTTTTTTTTCATTTTGGTAATTAACCTCAGAGGGACCCTACACATAAAAGAGGTTGTTAGTGGTCATGCTAGGGGGGTTTCACGAATTTTGCACCCCATTTAAAAGAAAGGAAAGTTGGTTTCTGGGCTGCCAGTATATATGCCAATTGGTTGTGCACCCACTTGTCAATTTACATAAACGATGATGAAGTTGGGTTGAGTACCACTGGTGGTAGATAACATCCGAGCGTATTGAAGGCCCAAATTTCAAATATGACAGGTGGAATTTCTTAAAGTGTAACTTTTATATTAAAATACCTTTTACCCATTCTGGAACACTTGTCATGTTTGAAATTTGGGCATTCAATGTGTTCTTACTTTAGTTAAAGCATGGATTTCTCTAAATACTAACTCAATTTACTTGATCCTGGAGCCCACTCAAAAGAAGAGATACCCAGAATTTTTTTTCTTGAGTTATAATTAAATAATTAGCTATATGAATTTTATTTTCTTTGGCTTGGCCTACAAACCACACTAAAGCTTTATCTAACAGTACTATGTCCCGTCTAGGCCCTTACGCTCTGCTGAACACTTACGTCTATCTTCTGTCCGTACTCCCACCTCTGATACTCTCCTTCAAGACTTCTCGAGGTTTGCACCGTTCCTGTGGAACTCACTTCCCTCCTCCGTTAGATGCTCACCCACTCTCTACTCCTTCAAAAAATAATTAAAAACCCACTTCTTCATAAAAGCATATCAATTAAACTGTTAATAGCTCCCAACTGATTCTTCTCTTGCAACTGTCACTAGTCTAATACTATCCTTACCTTTTGTGTCATTTCCTCTAGCATGTAAGCTCATTGAGCAGGGCCCTCAACCCCTCTGTTCCTGTGTGTCCAATTTGTCTGGTTACAACTACATATTTGTTCGTCCACCCACTGTAAAGCGCTGTGTAATTTGTTGGCGCTTTATAAATAATAACATAACATAATATACTATATATATAAGGAAACATTTTGTATTAACTAAACTTTTTCCCCTCTCCAAATCCAATGAAAACAGTGTGGTAACATATGAAAACATGAGTTTGCATAAACAATCATTGAAATGCAGCGAGTATATGTTTCCTTCAAAGGGAATATATTAAAAAGGCCAAAGGGCTCATCACTCATTTTCCAGTGGTGTCAAGGATGGGAGAGGAAGGTTGATGGGTACAGAGCTGTGACAGTGTGTGACAATAAAACATATCAGTCACCAATACCATCTAAATGTGCTTAGACTGTTAACTGAATTATGTTAGTGATTTTATGTATGTTATTTGAAAGTTGTGTAGTATAAGGAATAATCAATGGTATTTGTTTTGTGTGATTTTTTTTTTCTAAAGAGCATTATAGCAATGACAGCAAGAAAAAAAAATAATTACATTTTTAGGACAGCTTTATTGTGAAACAACTTATAATTCATTAATAATGCAAATTGTTATATATATTAATGTACTGAGTGCATCTAAATAGGTTTCACAAATCACATGTATAATATTGCACAAATGACTGCAATCAGCTTTGCAATAAGATAAAAAGTCAACATTTTGGCTGATATATAAATGCACAAAGGCCTGATTTCTTTTAGCAGACATACATTTAATCTGATTATTGAATAGGAATTACCTATAGACTTCATTTGGGGAGATACTATACAATACCCAGAGTGAAACTTATTTTATTATATTATTATTTATATTATTATCAGTGAATATACAAAGTCACATGTTTCGGTTCTTTCCATTCGGCAATGTTAATAAATTACAATTAATGATCAGTACTGGGACATTATGTATTCAGGTTGGTATTATTCATTTTAAAGTATTGATACTTTGTAAATGCTAAACACAAGGATTCTATTTACTAAAGAGTGAGGTTCCAAAAGCTGCTACATGTTTCAAATGTTTGCAAGTCAGTCCATGGCACCTTATCAGTTACAGAATATACCCAAACTATGTGGGGGAAATGATAGGTTATATACCATATTATTATTCATTACATTTGTAGGACATTTACAGAAATCAACTTTATGTGATTCGCTCGCCTGTTATAAAATGAGACAGAAGCTACAAGTCTGTGCGAACAATTTAAGTCAATGACTCTGCACCTTTTTGACAGGAATTAAAATGATGTACAAGGCATTAAGTTGGCAACCTATTCTGGGATTGTAAAATTATCTAAATGGCTTATTCATCAATTGTCATATAATATATACTAAATATATTCTCAAAAAAACATTTCCATTAGATTATTCTTCGCAGAAGCATATTAAAGGGGGTGGGGTGGTCCGCTCTGGGTGACAGATGGCAAGGGTTTGCACAGAGCACCCCCTTCCATCAGAGCAGGTATCTGCCTATAGATGCATTGCTGGAGGTAGTGCCAGGTTCCAGGTGCCTGTTCTGTGTCTGTGGGACAGGTACATGAAGGCTGCTTATCTCTCTCTGCACTGATTTCCCAGGTTCCTTGGGCGCTCTTTTCTGGTACTGGAACTCGGTTCTGGCATCAATACAGAGCAAATGGACAAATGGAGGGCACTCCAGCTCATTTTTTAAAGGTAAGAACAGGAAGGCTGGGCAGACCTCACTGTGACCCACCTTTCCTAAAAAATAACAGAAAGAAAAGTAATATTAAATGTGCACATATATAAATATGCATGTGTATATGAGTCTCTGAATGTGTGAGTGTGTGTGAGCCTGTGTTTGTGTGAAGTCTGTGTGTATGTGTGAATGTTTGTGTAGGGGTGTTTTTGTGTGTATTTGTGTCCATGTGTGTTTTTGCGTATGAGTCTACGAGTATGTATATATACTGTGTGTTTCTGTGTATGTGTCAGCGTGTGCATATTTGAATGTATGTCGAAATATGTATGTATATGAATGTGTATGTGATTGTGAATATGTTCCTGTAATCTTCCTAACAAAGGGATGGTGAGGGGTGCGTAGAGAGACACAAAAAATTATTCTACAGTTTGGACGGGGGCTGCTATGTAACTTAGGTGCGCCCCTGCTTCGTCAATCAAAGTTGTCTCTGTTCCATTGGGGATGGCAGAATTACTACAATAAACATCTAATTGTGGGCAGTGTCCACGAGCCTGATAAAAGGAAATGTCCCTTACCAACAGTGGAAGACCCATTGAAAATACCATGACAATGATTAAGAACAATCCTGCATGCTGTTTTTATTTTTTTTTTCTTACAACAAATTGAGGCTTGTTTATAGAACAATCATGTTTTACAAAACGTCTGACTTTTTTTTTTAATTCCTAGCTATCAGATAAAGCACATAATTGCCTAAATAAAATGTTCTAAGTAATGGAGATCTGTCTACAATGTAATCACTCAAATTGTAATATAAATTTTATTGATTTATTTAAAAAAAATAACCGAGTTAAGTTATTCTGTTACAAATTGCCTAAAGCCATATTCCAAGTGAAGATATTTCCATGTAGACTTTTCTAACATGAGTTAACCAAGAACTCTGAAATCTACATACTCTCATACTCTATCATGTGGTTTTACCACTCAAGCACTGGATTGCACCTCTCTCGTATTTTCCATTCTAGATACAATGTAACATACTGAACTCTCTAGCTAGCCATAGACGATACTATTATCCTTTCACATTTTTCCGTTTCACTATATTGTGATGTTTAATAACATAGTGTCTATACCACATAGCAGCATAATTAAATGAAGGGGAAAAGTTAATTATAGGAAAACAAACACATAGGGAAAAAAACGCTAAATAAATCTAAAGCTTCATTTTTTTTCCATGAAGTTGAATGGAAAATTAAAGCAAAAGGAGACTTTAGAAAGCGACTTGCAGCTGTGAGGATTATTTCTGGAAATCTGTATTTATCAAATATAAACAAGCATTTATTTGATATCCTCGTTCCATTTTTTTCCCTTTATGTTGGGTGGAGGGGCAGATAATCTGTTAGTGTTAATGTTGAAGAATTACATAAATGTAACATAGAAACATAGAATGTGACGGCAGATAAGAACCATTCGGCCCATCTAGTCTGCCCAATTGTCTAAATACTTTCATTAGTCCCTGGCCTTATCTTATAGTTAGGATAGCCTTATGCCTATCCCACGCATGCTTAAACTCCTTTACTGTGTTAACATCTACCACTTCAGCTGGAAGGCTATTCCATGCGTCCACTACCCTCTCTGTAAAGTAATACTTCCTGATATTATTTTTAAACTTTTGCCCCTCTAATTTAAGACTATGTCCTCTTGTTGTGGTAGTTTTTCTTCTTTTAAAAGATGCGAAAGATATAAAAGATGCATTCTTCTTGTCTTTAATCTGTAAAAATAAATTACAAATGAATTTAAAAATTTTACGTTACAATAGCTAAATTGGAAAAATTCTTTAAGTAACCTATGTGATTCCAAAAAAAGTGGCTTAAAATAAGAAAAATCACTCAACAACATATAACAAGGGATCGGAATGTTATGAGAGGCACCTAATTACACAAACGTGGTATGTCGGAAAATCAAATGTGTTCTGTTGAGCCTACCTGTGCAGTGTAGAATATGTTGGTACTCTCTAAATAATAATAATTATTATACTGGCAACATCTGTAGTGTAAACTTTTTTTTTATTCTACATTGATGAATTTGTGTTCATATGGTAAATTTGGGTAATCACGCACTGTCGTATTCAAAACTGAGTTGCGTAAGAAAATACAGCAGAGGGAGGCAAATAAAACCTAAATCGCATAGAAATGTACTATAGGAATTTGTCATAAACCTAAATACAGCACACAGTGACTGATACATCCTTGCATACCGAGAACCACAGAACTCTATAATTGCTTGCAGAATTCCAATCTTCAAAAACACAGAATATGAGAACGGACAAAAGAAACTCACCAGCTTGCCTTCAGTTAGACCGCGCTAAGATCTCAAAAATATTTTGGCTCACTTGTACCATTACTAAGAGAATGTTTAGCATTTGTATATCAGAATGATCCCACCAAGAATGATCCCACCAGCAAGTGCCCTGACAGTTTGGGCCGTAAAATGCACATTTATGAAAATTTAAAAAAATTAGTAATGAACATGAACATTTACTTAATATGAAATGCATATACATGCTAAATTCAAAGCAATTTAAAATGAAATTTGGTCCATTAAGCCTCATTTGCTTTTTCCTTTGCACCGGTACTAGTATTCACCCAGCAGAGAAATTAATTTGTATTCTTTCTGATCCTCTGCAGTGGGAATATTAATGTAGTCCTCCCCCACCTCCCACATATCACAGTAACCTTTACAGCTCAATCGTTATACCTATATTTTAGTTGCCAAGTAGGTTAGGTGGTATTAAGGGCCCTGAAGACAATAAATGCACTACAGGGATTATTGACAGACTACAATAAACCATACAATGCCTTATATGGTATAGATAAACAGGAATGACTATACTGATTGCTGGGCTCAAAACGCCCACTAGCCATTGGCAATTGAAAATGTATTACTCCATAGTGGAGAGGCTAGGAACGTTTGCGACACACATACTGCTGCCCTGAGCAGTAAGTAGATTCAAGAAAGACTTTGGATACGGAATAAAAAACTAGACTTTTTCTGCCAGTAGAATCTTTAGGGTTATGTACGGAGAGTAATTCTACGGGAAAATTCTAAATGTTGAGACGTCACCATGGAAACAAACAGAATGTATTTGTTGATTGCTCCACTTTTAGAAATTTGTCCCAGAATTCCTCTTTACAAATAACCCCAAATGTTTCTGTATTTACATGTATAACTAAGTAACGCGTAAGGCAATAGACTAATAACAGCATAGAGACATTTTAAGATGTACTCTACAAAGGAAGTTTAAAATAAAGTAAATATAAACTGCAGTTGTAACTCGTTCTCCGCTCCATATTACTACAGAAACAAGCAATATTATACAGAGATATACACAGCAAAATTTAAAAATAAAAAATAAAAAAAGCTATGTTTTATGAATCATCCAATTAAGATACAATAATACATATGCACAAAGTAATCTTATTCCATGTGTACCTGTGAACTGTAAATGTACATTGTATACAGTTTATCTTGAGTTCTATTGTAAATGTGCTTGAAAAACAAATTCCAAAGTACTTATTATGGTAAAACATTTCCGAAATAATAAAAAGTTGCCAGTGATATCACTGATTCTGGAACAGAGGCAGGAATAATGGTAATGTCAAAATGTGCTTTATGTAATATGGATTATACTAGACATTTTAAATCCCCCAGAAATGGAAAGACAGCAGGTATATAGCAGGAAGGGAGACATTGAGAGGAAGACAGAACAATATAGATTTACCAGAAGGATTTAATTGCTAAATAGGGAACCTTGACATCTCCCACCTTTCAATGGATTCATTTCCTCCCGTAGCATTGCCGTTTAGAGGTCTGACTGTGAATGTAACACTTAATGCACAAGGAGACTCTAAATACACGCACTCTCTCAATCTTTTATTTACAATAATATTATAGTATATTATTATACTAAAATTATAGTTGTCATTTAAACCACTTACGTAAATGTATCACCTTCACGCTCTATGTAACCATATATTAATTTAGCATTTTAGTTATAGTTGCTTTTTGTTGTGGTTTATGAGTTATTTTCTTAAATTTGGATATTGGCTTTAAAAAAACAAATACATATTTTATTTTACAATATAAATGGTTTTCTTGAAAGCAAATCACAGGTTAGTTAATATTTGTAACATAAGCATATACATAAAGTATATTGTCTGTCTGTCTATCTATCTATCTATCTAAACACACATGTATTGCCTATCATTTGTGGATATTGTAAACAGCATAAATAACAATAAATTAACGTATAATATACTAGCTGTGCGAATATTGGTTTCCTATTTGCAAACAGTTCCAGAGGCGAGACATTTGCATTGAGACTTTTTCCTTTCATCCTGTTTTGATATTTGAACGGATCACATTGTAACTATTGTTGTTCTCACCTGTGTAAACACATGTAGTTAAATGTAACTTCCTAATGTGCTTAAATAACTCCTTTAGCAAATATTCCTAAACATTTACCTAGCACCTTTTCAGGACCCAGTCGTAATATATATATATATATAGATATGTTACAATATAGCATTTCACACTGTCTTTGTACAAATAAGTGCCACTGAAGAAGAAGAATTTTGTAGTTTGTTATGAAAACGTAAAGGAACACTATAGAGTCAGGGACACAAACATGTTCCTGACCCTATAGTGTTAAAACCACCATCTAGCCCTCCTGGTTCCCCCTTGCATCCCTAAATATAGTAAAATCTTACTTGTATTAAAGTCTGAAGCTGCTGCCTCTAAACTGCCTACTGTCTGTGCAGATTTCAATAGACATTTTTATAAATTATCCTGGTTACACCCCCTTGTCTTTTAAGCAGACAACAGGTCATGTTACTTCTTGGTTTGGTTAGCTCAATGGAGCTAAACTCAAGAGGCAGCAATTGCCCAGAGCACCTGACTTACAAAGACTTCTCATTGAGCTGAATTGGGAAGTCTGTTGTTGGACAACCACATACAGTCTGGGTGGGGTTAGAAGGCTGCAGACAACATAACTGCAGGATTTGCAAGCTGATTTTAGATATATCCTTAATGAAAAAAATACATAATTAAACGCATGCAAGTTTTCATTTGGGGTATATCTACTAAACATTGATTTTTATTTATTTTGTATTTGCGCAGTGGAGTGTCCCTTTACCTTTAACTCTAGTCAACTCTAGTCCTAACCATAACCCTGAAACTATCACATTACATAAAAGATATCTGTGAAGTGTGTTTTGTAAATATCATCATAAGCCATAAAACAAAAGGTTACGTGGTATATGGACTTGTGCATATGGTTTAAAATAAATTGTGATTCATTTTGGGGGGGGTTATTCAAATCTACAAAACACCATGTTTCACAAAACAAACAAAATAGGCAGTGGATGAGCCATTTAATTTGTATTGTAATTAAGATGTGGTTGGCATGCCAGTGCTTTCTGGCCAGTAAAGAAAAATTAGAAACAAGTGTATGGTGGTCAATATAACCCCCATATTAGCACAAGAGAGAATTAATACCTCCATTAGACCCTCACACTTCAGCTGTGGCATATTAAACCTCCTTAATTTTACCATGGGGGTTATATTAACCATCATAGGATTTTGCTTTTTTTTTTTTTACATTTTAATGTCTTTATTTTTTTAACACTTAACATTTTGGTTCATCCAAATCGCGAAATTCTTAAACAAACTTATTTTGTCAACAAATCGATTTAGACAAACCAATCTTTTTGTTTTGCTGTGCACAAGTGTAGCGGTTTATAAATGTATTGAGAACCCAGAAATGGCATGACGTTTCCCTAATTCGAGTCAGTTATCTAGCTATGATATGGTTTGGGCTAGGCTATAGTTAGATCTAGGTTTCTTTTAATCTATGGGTAGCTCTGAGATTGGTGACAGTTATACTTCCAACATGTCAGCCCCCTATTCACTAAAGTGGGAACTCAAAGTGAGTGTAAAGTGAATTTCAAATTTAAGACTAAAATAGTTGAACTGGAAGAATAGCCGAGTTAATGAATGTTTCCTGTTCAGCTATTTTACCTTAGATTTGGAAATCACTTTGAATTCTAACTTTAGTTAATAACGTATAAGTAATATGCCAGCTTTCGAGTTGGGGAGCGTTGCAGTCTCTCTGAATCCCAAATTTCATGAATGGATGAGAAACTATGTTAATGGTGGAAACTGCAAAATTAGCAGCTGTTACCCAGGAGGGTAACTCCCACTACTCTCAGGCAAGCTAGAACATGTATATCAGTCACAATGTGGACTTTGTCATGTTTCTTCTTTAGATACGCATAGATACTAAATATAAAACAAAATACACTAATCAATTTAACATACTGGTGAAAGTGCCATATATTCCTTTAGGGAAGGGAATTAGACAGGACTTACAAATTCCATGCAGCTAAAGTCAAAGTATTCAATGCCTTTACTAACCAGAGAGAGAATGCAGTAGAGCATAACAAATTATAGGGATCTATTCACTAAACAGTGTCCTGCGGTTATTTTACCATTAACTTGGAAAATTAAGAGTTAATTAGAGCTGGAAAGAAATCTCAATTTAAACTAAGATAAAGCTCTTATCAAACTTGGATATTTTATCTTGAATTTTGAAAGCTGGTCAAGTCATTTAACCCCTTAGTGACCAGACTGTTTTTCAATTTTCTTACCGTTTGGTACCAGGGCTGTTTTTTTCTGCGGTGTTTGTGTTTAGCTGTCATTTTAGTCTTACTTATTTACTGTACCCACACATATTATATACTGTTTTTCTCGCCATTAAATGGTCTTTCTAAAGATACCATTATTTTCATAATTTACTATAAAAAAATTATAAAATATGATAAAAATATTTTAAAAAAACACTTTTCCTAACTTTATAAGTTTCTAAGTTTCCCCGAACATAGAAGAATGCACCAGAGCAGGGAATCCCTTAACTCCTCACTTACCAACCAATTCGTTCAACGACCAGGTCATCGGAATGGAACCCGGTCGGTAAGTGAGAAGTGTCTGTATATAGAATGTTAAATGAAAATATATATATGGGCAGGTTTTTTTTTTTAAATCCAAATCAGGAATTCCTCTAAAGTGTTTACTTTATAACACACATGTCACCAATTTAAATCTAAAAAAAATTGCATTTAGCAATCTTTCTCATTTTCTTTTGCTCACAACTTGTTTATTAACTAAATAAAACTTACATTTTATTAAAGAGATCTCTGTGTGAGCTAGCAGTAAGGAACCTCCTTTGGAAATTTAAGTCACAACTTTTATTGCATCATACCTTCCATTGTGTTTTAATTATATGTGAACTATTGTTAGAAAATATATATAAAATCGCATTACTAAAGATATTCATTTCATCTGTTATTTAAAAAAAGAGATTAAATTGGACGTTAAATATGTTACCTTTTAATCAATTCAATTATTTAATTACTATGTTTTTGTTTGTTTATTTTGTATTAGAGTACTTTGTTAAAATTGATTTAGATGTATCTAATATGTAAGGGTATAGTAGAACAACATGCACACATTAAACTACGTAACCTTTATGGACCCCAGCTAAACAAAGGCATTGCAGGACATCTTGATTACAACCAGACCCTTGGAAACGAGACAGTTGTAGTCTCTTACCTCTGGGTGACATAAGCAGGAGTCTCCCTTTCATGATGTTTTGAAAAGAAGGGCAATTGAGGTGCCTGGCCCTTATAACATTCTGGGAACATCATAGAAGGAGTGTTTCTTTTAATACAAAACATATGTATCTGCGCTTCCTTTGAACTAGTGGAATGAAAAAAAAGACAATATTTTACAGACACAGGAATCTCTCTTTTTTTTGCGTACAAAGCTTTTTAATGAAAATTAATTCTTTATAAAGTCATCATTGTCCTGTGCTAATAAGAAGCATAATTCTTCTAGAGTTCTTATTTTTTTCGCTCCAATTCCAGAATTGTTCACTAGCTAAAATTCTTCAAAAAAGCAAAAAATAAATAAAAAATAAAAATAATAATAATAAAAACATATGTATTATCATCATCGTTTTATCAGAGTCTGTACAAATGTTTAAACAGCAACTAGATGCATGCTTGCAAAAAAAAAAATAGAATATTAAAGGATATAATCTTTCAATGTAGGGTAATAACTGCTTGGTCCAAGGATAAATCTGGCTGCCATTCTGGGGTCAAGAAGGAATTTTTTTTCCTAGCTTGTTGCAAAATTGTGCTTCAAACTGGTTTTTTTTTTACTTCTTTTGGATCAACAGCAAAAAACAAATGTGAGGAAGGCTGAACTTGATGGACGCAAGTCTCTTTTCAGCCTATGTAACTATATTAAAGAAATAAATAGCAAGTAAGCAGAAAAAGCAATTTTCTAATTGTAAGAAAGCTATGCAGAGTTGATACTCACACATAGTAGTCACACAACGAGTCTTTTACAAATGTTTTTTGCAAATGTGCAATGACTGCAAATGAAGACTATCTCCGTAATTCTCTTTCCCGTGTGGGATGTACGCCATTCACGGACAGTAGTGAGGAACTGGCAAATGTCATGATTAGAAAGGAATGCGCACTTTCTCAAGATTGTGTCAGGCTGTCACAAAAATATAGGAGACATAACTGCATAATATATCTACATCAATCCCCATTGCATTGTTTTATTTTTTTGTTTCTTTAATGAATACTTATATGCAGCTTGTGTATATTATTTGTAATGTATAGGACTGTATTTCCTGGCTTAGACAACTTTATGTCCTCTTTGGTCAGAAGCGCGGCTTATTCAAGCACAAATCATGCAGCTAATAAACAGCTAGTATACAGAAAGTCTGACAAACGATGGGCGTCCCGAAAGTTAATTGTGGGTTGGTTAAAGGCCTTCAAATTGCACGGTCGGAGAATAAAAGATGTGCTTCCAACCAAAGAGGGCTAAAGATGGCTGCCCCCATACAGCAAGAGTAGGTCAGTTATTTTCTGAAAATGTATTAACTTATATGTATTCATAACAAAATAATAGACTTTTAGGCTATAATACATGTAATCTGTTAATTTCATTAGTAATCAAGAATGATAACAGCTTTCTTTTAACACAGGAATGAACCAAACTTGAAAGCTGTCAGAAGTAGTGATGTCCCGAACGGTTCGCCAAACGGTTCGCGAACGGTTCGCCACGAACGGTTCGCCATGGACTCATCATTGAGTAAACTTTGACCCTGTACCTCACAGTCAGCAGACACATTCCAGCCAATCAGCAGCAGACCCTCCCTCCCAGACCCTCCCACCTCCTGGACAGCTCACTAAGAATGCAGCTTCAAAATGGATGCTGTCCAGGAGGTGGGAGGGTCTGGGAGGGAGGGTCTGCTGCTGATTGGCTGGAATGTGTCTGCTGACTGTGAGGTACAGGGTCAAAGTTTACTCAATGATGAATCCACGGCGAACCGTTCGCAAACCGTTCGCGAACCGTTCGGGACATCACCAGTCAGAAGTTTTGGCTTTTGTCATCTTACTGAGAGCTCCGTTCTTGTTTCGTAACACGCTCTTGTGCAAGATTGGCTCCTTCATAGAATTCTAAGAGAATGTGGGAACTTGTTTCACATGTGCCCTTTCCGCAGGCAACCAACAGACATGCTTGCATGGGCTGAGGGAGGACAGCATACCCAGAAAATTACTTAAAAAGAGAGTAAATGTACATCTGCATTAACTGATTACAAATTCAGATACTGAGTGTTGGAAGGCCAGGGTACAGGGACCTCTCTACACAGTAACCTATATAAAGATCATACGTTTTTATGATGCGTAAAGTATCTCTTTAAATCCAGCACACCACATTCTTAGCACACATTCCTAATTTGCCCAGGATAGGCTACTTTACATCTGCAAATATGCTTACCGAACTGTCTAGACATAATTCTGCCTCATATTTAATACAACAAAATGTAACCGGAAAATGTCCAAACAAAGAGAAAAGCTTTTGCAAATGAGCGAAATGTTGGTATGAAAAATCTATAGATATTTCATTAACCAGTAAAAAAATAAATAAAAAAAAAATAAAGTTCTTGCTTTCATTAGTGGACACTTCATACTTTACAAAAAATATTATACAATGCACAATTAGATGAAGACACCATTTATTCTTTAGTCTGTATTTCCAAAAAAATCTCTTTATACGAGACATTCCTGTGAAGTTATATAAACTGTACAATGCTTCCTGTGGGTCCATTATAATTAGACTTCAGAAAGTAAATATAGTCTATTCCTATCACACAGGCAACTACAATATATATTTTGAAGTTCAGCAGGGGATACTTCTTTTCCTACCATCAAAAGGACAAACAGTTTTTGATGTACAGGCACAAAGGCTAGCAAAAGCAATAATGCTCCTTTCAACAATCCGGTTTTTCTTTTCTATTACAAATAGCAAGGTTGCGAAATCGTACACTACAAAAGCCGGATAAATCATTAAGGGCTCATTCACTGTCATTATCTATTGCTCAGCATTGCCTAGTATTATACTCGGATGGCTGTTAAAGTTTAAGTGATATTATTAGGATGGGTACCTGACCAGGAAACCAAAGGGTAGAGAATGCCTCTTGTGTGCGCTTGGATCATTTGGAACATTATAAAGCCTAAAAAAATGAATGGTCTTCCTTTTATTCTGTAAGAGCTATCTATTTCTATAATTATATTCCCTTAAATCATTGTTTTCTTTAGCTTTCCAAGGTGTGTTGTTAGTAATAAGCAACAAATAGAGATGTCTATGTGTTCAATTATACCATTTATGTTATTTATGAAAAAATAAGAATAAAGGTTATTTCTGTTGGAAATATTATTGCTTTATTTTTACCTTAAATATATAGAACACAGATACTAGTTTCTAAATGTTTATCTATCTGAAGATGCCTGAAAAATCCTGCTGTCCAACCATCATCTCATGTCACTCTTCCTCTAAATCCTCCTTCAATACTGCCTCTGTTGGCAACATTACAAAATCCACTGCTGTCCACGACCTCTTCATCTCTTGTACCCTAGATTTACTAGCCTTAACAGAAACATGGCTCTCTGCCTCTGACACAGCTACCCCTGCATCTTTATCCTTTGGTGGTCTTCAACTTACCCACAACCCACTCTGAATGTAAAGGTGGTGGTGTAGGGTTTCTACTCTCGCCTCACTGCTCCCTCAAACCTCTACCCACACCCCTTCCCTCTCTTTCCCATCAATCAAAATTCATTCGATTTGCCTTTTCAAATCCTGCTCTGCTAACATTGCCTTTATTTATCACCCCTACCCCCCCCCTTGACCACCTTGCTACCTCGCTACCCTACTTTCTTACTTCTAATATTCCATCTCTAATTCTCAGTCACTTAAATATTCCCATTTAACCACCTTTGACCTCACCAGCCTCTAAACCACTTTGAATTACTTGTGTTTGAGTGAAGGGATGTGTTTGTATATTATTTTTTTTTAGTTTGAATGCAGGGGTGTGTGTATGTAATATTTGAGTTAGATTGCAGAAGTGTGCTTGTATGTTGTGCTGGTGTTTGACTGCTTGGGTGTATGCACATACACTACCACATACATACATACATACTTACACAGATATTCATGCACATTAACACACAGATGCATAGAAAAACACTGACACATACACACAAATTTATATAGACACTGATACATACACACATATAGATATACACAGACACACACACGCACATAGATAAACATCGACATATACACACATGCAACCTGACACACACAAACATTGATACGTGCCCACACATGACACAGATACACACTGACATTAAAAACACACCCTGACACACAGACGCACATAAACAGATATGTACACAGACACAGAAGCACACTGACATATATATATATATATATATATATATATACACACACATATGCACACCCTGACAAACACACACTCACAAGCACCCTGACACACATACCCATAATCACTCACACACTCATACACACACACACACAGACACTCATATACACACACTCATACACATGCACACACTCATACTAACACACACAAATTTAAACTCATACGCAATCAAACTCATATACACACTTATACACACACTCATAATCACTCACACACTCATACACACACACACACACACACACACACACACTCATAATCACACTCACACAAATACACACAAACAAACTCATACACACACAAGTGATTTATTTAAATATCTCCAGCCACCCTCCTGTCAGCATACCTTATGTGCCAGAAGGGTGGCTTGGAGTCCTGCTGCTGATGGGATTGAGGAGTCTGGAGCTCTTTGTGCACTCATGCTGTGGCTACCTCCTCCCACGCTGCCTCCCTGCAGGATGCTGTGAGGAAGTGACAGGCTGTCATTTCCTCCCAGCCGGCCGACATTACAGGGGTCTTGCTTAGCGGTAATGTTTCCCCTGTGCTACGAACATTCCACGGCACCCCTGTGTGCACGTCGCGGCACTCAGTTTGGCAAACGCTGATGTAAACAATAACCTAATAAAAATATTATTCAATGCATGTAAATGGTTTATTCGCTAACAAAATCGTAATGTAGACCATTATAACAGGGCTGATAAATAAAAAAAATTCTCCTCTCATCCATTTGTGTCTAAGTCTGCTTGTTGGTTTGTTAAATCGCTATTCAGTAAATAAACCCCTATATACATCTAGTACTGTATAACCAGAATGTTCTAAGTGGATCTTTTTACACTTACAGCTGAATGCAGTTGTATCCGTCTTGTTGATTGTTCTTCTAACACAATAGGTACTTCTTCACCATAATATACTTCCTCAGCAATGCCTTTTCTCATAACAACTTCATCAAATATGGATAACCCTCCCCCCCCCCCACTCTAATAAGGACTTCCACAGCACAGGCACATGTAGCTATTTAATCTGCAAACCCAACGAGAAACACATGTGCTTTACACATTATAGTTCCTTAAGAAGTTGGTATTAGAGGAATTCTCTGGGATATTTCTCCAGATGGTGAGCCGGATCCTATAATCAGCACGTCATCTATGTTATTGTTTGTTTGAAGTATACAGTCATTTCTGGAACCCGTTCCTAGTAAATGAGTCTGTACATACATTCCCAAGTAAGCTCAGTTTTCGGTAGATTGTATTGGAAGAAGGTAGGTAAAATATTACATCTAATCCAGAATTAGGAAAAATAAAATGTTTTGGAATTTCACCTCTGGAATTTAAGATTTAAAAGCATCTGGTTAACTTATTTCCTGACCAAGGGCTGCACATTTACTGCATCTTCATGGAAGCTTAATTAAAATTCTTGGTTATGTAAAAAAAAAAAAAAAGGCTTGTCGCTTTCTAAGTTTGGATTTTAGCCTCAAACACTCATGTTCTTTTAAATTAGAAGCTGTATATATCCACATCAAAGGCAGATAAATAGGCTGTACCACCATAAAAGAGTGAATGCATTAATGAACTGACATACTAACTCAATTAGCAACTTAACACCCAAAATATTCATAGAATGGAACAAGCGCAAACAGAATTTTAAGTGCACATCAGTGCTACTATTTTAACGTAGGGCAAGCAGAATAACAGACGTTTTGGGTAAAATCACTCTTTCTCAATGTACAATGCTCTTGCAAAGTTTGATTATCCCCAAACGTCCTTCTGTAAGAGAGCCACAGTGGGTGATATTATTTGACAATATTGTACAGTGCTAGGTCTTTAATCTCCAGACAATGTCCAGTTATATGTCCTGTTCTGTCTGAGATAATCAACTATACTCCTGCATTCTAGATACTAATTGCAATTGCCACCAATTTAATACACCCCTTCCAATAATGATATTTCAGTAGAGTGAGAAAGGAGACAGGAACAGCTCCAACATTAATCTAATGTTAAAACATAAAAACTGATGTAATATAAAATAAACATAACTTGGATGTACATATGTGAAATAATGCTGGATTCTAAAGACTTTGAGAAACCACTCAACCTTCAGTCTTGTTGTATGTTCTGATGTCTACAGAGCATATTGATGACTTTACATTTTATTTACCAAATCCGAATGACAACCATTCACTGCATACGGGGCCATTTGGACTACAAGATACAGACTTTGTTCACTCTATTTAATAGAGTCTGGATTTTGAAATTACGGCCCTGAAAAGCCAGAATTTGATCTGGATTTCAGTAGGATGGAATGCTACAAATCTGGGCTCCAGTTACTTCAAATCGGAAATCTTTGCAAATAGTTAAAAACCTTCGGTGGTACAATGGTTAATTATGTGGCAGCTGGCCAGCACTGGCTATCCAGCCACCACATTAAAAAAGTAAAAGGAAAAAAAACCCCTATGGAGTCAATATGTCCCCATATTATTATAATAGAGGTCTATAACCTCGCTTTACCCCCCACCTGCCACTTATCTGCTAAATATTTTCAACCAGCAACTGGGCCACCATTGCTGCTCAGTCGCTAGAGAGGCTCCCATCCCACAGGAGAAAGGGCCTGTGAAATAATGGGGCATTTGATGCTATTTCAGATATTGTGTGGCTCAGATAAATGTCCTATTCTATGCAATATAAGTCACAGCTTGAGAGAAGCCCTATATAAGGGCTTGCACTGATATGAGCGCTCAGTCTATGTCGCGCCCTCGGGGCGAAGATAGATTAATTTTATTGCGTCGTGTTTTTGGATATATTTAGTCGTTCCTTTAATACAAGATAAAATATTACTATTTATACATTTATTAACACAAGCAGAGGTAGCCACATAAACAATTAACAGGAATTGATCAGTGACTTCCAAATTTTAGACCAAAATACAGAAATGGAATCATTCTTCAACCCTATGTTCCCAACACAACTATTTTGACCTGACATTTGAAATTCACGAATCAATCCTAGACAACCCCCTGTTCAGAGATTTAACTCTGATTATATTGGCTTGATGTTAACTCAGCAATAATAGATGCAATAATAATAATCCTGCTGATATTGGACTGTCCTCCAGGTCTATTATCTTCTATTATAACAACATGACCAGGGAACTACACATTTTATGCCAATAAAGCTGATTGGTACAGTTTGGTTTTTTTGGATATAAATTTGCAATCCACTTATAAATTCAAGTTTTACCAAATAAACAAACAAATAAATAAATACAAAAATAAACAAGAAGTAATTATTGTTTGAGGGAACCTTTTTAGAATGAATTGCCAGGCCATTATTTGTCAGATGACGGTGGTTTCTTTGTGAGATGTAATTTATGTTTTTTATCTAATATGAAATAATTCCTGCCTGTCAGCATTCCATTTCTGACCCTCTACCCCAAAGTAAGGTATCTTGCAGAACTTGCGTTGCAGGAGAAATTCCACAAATGGTGTAATAAGTGCTTAATGGCCACAGGGAGGAATAATCACAGAACGGGGAAAATCTTTAGCATAATTACACACCATTTCATGAAAGGCGCTCCAGCGTTAGAAAGCAGTCATATGTTCTGCATGTGATTATAATGCGTTTTATAGAAATTACTCATACTTTGAAAAAAAGCCTCTATCTGCTCAGAATATTGTTTTCAGCTGATGTGTATATATAGAAAGAGAGAGTTAAAGAAGCCGGTGGTTTTCACACTTTGATCTTCTGGTGTGGCAAGAACTTTTCAATGTGTTATAGTCTATAATTATAAAAGGTAGGAAGCATTAATAGAATATGCCTGCTTGTTTCACTGGTTTCTATGGCGATTGCCCCACGTTTAGTACGTTAAACCACTTTTTAAAGCAAAATACTGATACATCTCCGCAGGGCCTCTAATTGATTGAATGCAGATTTTAAAACGAGTTTTTTTAAATAAATGCAGCGTTTAAATTAAGATTACTGTCTGGCAACTGATTAAAGCCAGTTTGGCTAGCAGAATGCATGTATGTGTTCAAATTAATGTAACAAGGATAGACTGCTGATTACTGTGGTTAAACTGTGCTTTGGTCCAAAAGGTTGAGAACCACTGACTCCAAACTGTTTAACAGCAACTCGGTGTATACTGCCTGGATGGAACGCAGAGAAAAATCAATAAAAAAAAAAAAACCTTAGGAAATATGACCCTTAGTGTTAAAAAAACCAATAAAATCAATACTGTGGGGAATCAATACATAGGTTCTACAGAAAGGTTCACTTTTGAAACCAAAACATCAATACAGCCTTGCTATGGATTGATTCCTTATTAAATAGTTATTAGTTTTTAATTTGTTTATTTGGTTTCTAAACACAATAGAGCGTCAGATTATATATATATATATATATATACACAGACATACCTACCATACAAATACACACACATGTAGACACATGCATACATACATAAATGTTGCTTCATTTAGATTTCAATTTGATAAAATTCACAGTTTAGTGAACAATCAAGGGACGTTCTACGCCATTTGACATCCTACCCTTTATTCATTACATACCAAAGCTCATGAAATCAACACATCTGACTTGTGATTCCTAGATCTCATAGAACTATATGTAAACATTTGTGGCAGATACAATTACATATTACATGGTGCGGCGTCTATTTAATACCTTTTTATAACATATTTAACAGCAAATAAAAGTCTATTAGTTGTCTATACACCCTGTTTGGCACAAGACACAGTTACAAATTAGTTTTGCTGACAACAGACGTCTCCTCCCAGAATCCTTTTGTCTGTACTCCCTTGAGCATTGCTGTGGTATTTGTATAATGTAAACCGTGAACTGTTTATTTACCTCTGAACTGTGATCATCACTATCAGGGTTATTCAGAAACACTGGAATTCACAAGGGGAATCACAAAATATAGACTAAAATTACTGAAGATGAAAATGATCAGTTTCATTTTGGATATTTTAACAACAAAAAAATTGCACTTCTCTGGTCAGTTCCTAAAAATGATGTATTCTCCACCATGTACCCAAATGCTAAATGTAAAAATTAAGCCAAATGTATTAAAGATATTTTATGGATATTATAATCAATGTGTATTTCTTTCTTTGTTATTGATTTCCCTGTGTTGTATTTTTCTTCTTTCATCTATAAAAATGTTCTTAAGTTTTGATGATCCATCATAATCTCAATATTTTGTTCTAAATAAAAAGTCTGTGCTTCCGAGCTGTCAGACGCTTAAAAGAAATGTTTAAAAAAATAAACTGTCTGTTTGACAAATTGATGATTTATCATTACCTACTGCAACAGAAGTATTAACCCTGAACGTATCCCAAGCACTGACGTTCTAAGCATTATTAGATATGAGTTGAACATTTATGCTTAAATTTTGCTTGACTTATGTCTAGGTCAATCAGTTATTGATCACACTCAATTAAAGGGCGGCAAGTGGATCAAGAATGTAAATCTACATGAATATATTAACTCAGTAGTGTGACATTAAAATATACACAGCTTCACTTGAAGATATAAATACAATGATATACTGCAGGAATATCATCTAATCAGGAAACATGTATCTATATCCTATGCTAATACAATGATCTGTCTCATATGTTAATACAGCTGAGCTATTTGAGGAACGTATTTGTTCTCAATTATAAGAAAGCATTTTTGTAGTCTGAAATGGGCGAGACAAATAATGGAATCCATTCGATATAATAATAAAAGGAAGTATTGCAAACTTCAAACAGACTGTGTACTGTTCTTGGACCCATTGCAGTGACATTAATTAATTTGTTTATTTACATGTTCTGTATGGTGTGCCTCAGCTCTGT